CTGAATCTGGGCTCCCTCATTGCCACCTAATTATAGCACCTATATGCAGTACTTTGAATCACGATTTCAGATCCTCCTCTTCTCCAAACAGAAGTATTTGCTATTGGAAAACTACTGAAGGTATAGTATCCCTTCTTGATATGTCCCAAATCAATAACTAACTAACTTCTAATTGAAATTATAGGAAAAGATTTGCTCTTCAACTGTCCACTGTCCACACAAAAAGCAAAATTGCATTAAATTATTAAGCAAAACCAGATCCTTTTAAAACCTCTGTTTAGTACTCTCAGTATGATGCAAAAACCTTATTTCCCTTTAATTGGTTTATCTATAAAAATGGTAATTTTCAGACAGTTGGCAGTAAAATCCCTCAGGACTTCAGGAAGCAAAATTCCCTTTTTAAAATTCTCTACATTTATTAATGAACTTGAAAAATAACACTTAAAATTGCTTTGTAGGTTTTCCCTCCTGTGCACTGTACTCTCTACAGAGTTTCATGGGGAACTTCAGGCAGTTCTTCCTAATTTTTACCTTCGGGCTATGTTTCCCAAGTGCTAACCTGGATAACCACTGTTAAGCCTGCCAGATAAATGTTTGTGAGACAATGGAGATTGCAGATCACACACAGTTCATCACGGCTAATATATGTGATGGGAGTGATATGCTAAGGGAAAAAGATGTGCTCACTTCATCTTTCATCACCAACAAGTCCATATTTCTTTTTTTCCTAGTAAAAGTGAGCAGCATTATTAATTTCAGTCTTGAAAGCTTAGTTTATATTAAAGGAAACAAAAGCACATGCTCAGTCAGCAATTATGTACAAGGCCTGTCCTAGCAAGAACTGGGTGATTCTCTTTGCACTCACGGATCACTAAATACTGATCTAGTACAAGACATAACAAATTAATTGTTGCACATGCAGACTCAGCCTAAAAAGCAAATTAGTCTGCTGATATGAAAACTATTTTCTTATATAAACTTACTTTAAATTTCTACTTTAAAGTTCTCCTAAAGGCTTATAATAAATGACAGTCTATCATTTCAGTCTTTGCTTTCTCATTCAAGACTGTAGCAGAGGCATCAACTCTAACTGAAATACTTACCCTTTGAAAAGTGACCTAAGGCTTCACGTAGGTCCTTAAGCAGGAGTAAAATAAACTCGTGTCTTATTTGTCTTCTATATATCCAGGCCTTTTTCATTTGGTAGCCCAAAACCAGAAACTGTCATATATATATTAATTATCTCTTAATGCGTCTTGAGAGATACTGCATCTACAGACGTTGACATGGAGGCCTGCACCCTGAGTCTTGGGGAAATGCCATCAGGAAATACTACCCATGATCTATTACATAAATTCTTAATCCTCTTACTTTTGAGAAGAGTGTTGATCACTAACAAAGTGCTTATTTTGTTTTCCATAGAAAAGGCCAGATTTATATCATTGACCAGGATGTATTAGGAGGGTTTAACTGCTGACTGGGAGAAGATTTGGGGCTGTGAAAACTAAGATGCAGATTTAGAAATGCTAGCAAGTAGCAAGAGCATATAGGAGTCTGAGGCAGGAATACGTTCTAAAAACTGGCTTCACAGGGAAGAAAACACCAGTATGAAAGGAAGAGTGTCTATAGAGATCTTGCAGTTGGACTGATTTTTTTGGAACATAATTTTGCAACAGTGGTTTAAGCGATGCAGTGGCATCATTACTATATGTTATGTTCAGACAACATGGTGTTTACAATTTACAGTCCTCCTTTCCTTCCTGCCCTCATGAGAAGATACCTTAAATCTGCATACAATCCATTGAGTAAAAGAGAAAGAAATAGGAGGAAAAAGCATGGTACTCATACAGTCATCAGAATGTGAGCCATTTATCTAGTCAGGCAGTATTCTTACCATCACCTTTACAGGTCTACTCTTACTTACTTGAAAATCATAAAACAAAAAAACAAAAAAAAAAAAAAAAAAAGAGAGAAAGAGACAGAAAACAATTTCTTATTTGCAGTTAACTTATTTCAAGGTAAAAATAGATCAACAGCACTGCAGCTCTAATGGAGTAAAAGCAAGAATACAAAGGGATAAAAATTCACAATTCTGTTAACAGCCTGGATTTATGATCTGTGGTTTTAAAATGAATGCAAATTTGTGATTATACTGCGTTTTCTCTAATGGATTAAAGAACACGTATTTGTAAATGCATCAAGATGAATTAAAATAGGACAGTTTTTTTTTTTTTTTTTTTTTTTTTTTTTTTTTTGTCTTATTAAATTAGAATGCAAAACTCATGTCTTTTGTCATCATATATTTTCTTTTTTCCTCAGTTATTTGTATTTTTTTAAATATTGTCTCCCATTCCTTTTCATTCTCCATGTCATCTAATCATTGGACATATTACAAAAGACTGCTGTGGACTTGACCAAGCAAGAGGAAGCTGAAGGAGAGTGAAATCTAGAATGAGAATATCATATTCTTTCATATATATAGGCAGGTGCTCGTAGATTGCAAAGAAATTTATGGGAAAAAAAAAAAGCTAGCTTTTTAGTCTGGAAGATTGAAGCAAGATATAAAACAGTGTTGACACAGTAATCCAAACTTCTGACTTTCTAAGTTATAATACCTTGCCTACTGAATCTTGCTGGAAGTAAATGTAAGTAAGTAAATGAAGACTAATAACCGTATTTGCATTACCACACTTGTGCAATCATCTGTTCTGTGAATTCCATTAAGTAATACTTCACACAGAACAAAGAGAAAATCCTTCAGATCTGTTTCTTGCAAGGATCCAGCATGGAGCTTGAACTCTTAGCAGTGGTACTGGTGGCAAATCATCTGTACCAACAGATTTATGTAAATACGCCTAATAGGATGCTTTTTTCTTACTGACTGAATGATCATGCTAGCAGAGCAAGCATAAATGTTATAACTCACTTTTGCCAATGTTCATCAAGCTTGAATATAAAATAAAGTGCAAACAAAGCAAAACTGATTTTATTTTAAATGTGGGCAAACATTTACAGAAACTATTTTGCATTATTTTCCTACTCTGTTCAGCATTCTCAGTTCCCAGTGGTATGATGAGAGTTTGAAATGCAGAATGTCTCCCAGAGGTGCTCAGCAATTTGCAAGAACAGCCCCACAGCTAATATCTCTTTGGTTCAATGGCTTCAAATAAATTAAAATATTTCTTGTTCCTACTGGCACAGAAAGAGATTAATCCATGAACAGGAAGCAACCATTTGAGCAATTAATTAGGAGGGCCTGTCTTGATGAGTTTTCTTGCTTTCAGGTGGACAAGTTCATCAATGCATTGTTTTCACGGTTATTATAAATACCTACTAATGATTAATAAGAAAGAGAGGTACGTGCTAAATAATCTCTTTATAGATTCATCCTTTGTTGCTTTATTTATTTGTTTGTTTGCTTGTTTTTAATAAAAACTGTGAATGTTCTGTCTTTACTATGCAGGATATCAAGACTGTGAAGAGAACAGTTTCTGTTGACATTGTGGTATATGTTCCATGATACTCACATCCACAGATTGTGCTGGTAGATTGCATACCTGATCATAGGTATTACAAGGATAGGATATGGTTCAGCAGTAAATAAAGCATCAGTTTAACAACTGTTTCAGAAATGTCATGAGGACAAGACAGGGCAGTTAAATACAGACATGTAGATATAATTTCTGATATTTAGCAATGTGGAAAGGATTACGGGCTATGATTATAAATAATTAGGGGATGTTCCATAAAGCATTATGCCCTTTGGCTCACAGCTATCAGAATGAAGGCATCAAGTTGATGCAAGTGCTACAGTAATGCTAAGAAAATAAACTATAAACATATGCTGAGAAATTTTCTGATGTGTCATAACAGTATGTTTACTTAACCAGTCTAATATATATATATATGTATATACACACACATAATGTTTTCTGGCAAATGTTTGCATTTTCTAGCTCTTACCACAGCTCATATTGTCCCTTTCCTCTTTCATTCATGGGGTGTTGGACTCGATGATCTCTGGAGGTCCCTTCCAACCCCTACAACTCTATGATTCTGTGATTCTGTGATTTCATATTACACTGAAACTTATTTGTTAGGATAGGTCAATATGTGGCAATCTTGGAAATTTGCATAGTTTCTTTAGGAAAATGTTAAATTTTACATGCAGCCATGTCTCCGATTAATGTTTATAGAAACACTTCCCAAAATCCTTGTGGCTGAGCAGGTCCTTTTGGATTTCTGTTGAAAATGGATGCAAAATATATTGTGAATAGAGTGAGGTAAATACTTTAGCAAACTACTCTGTCTGCTTATTTTACTCACTGCATGCACATTGCAATTCAGTGTCCTTGTGTTTGTTATAAGAATTTGCCTAAAATAATTTTCTCTTGTTTTGTTTGTCTACATTTGGATTTTGGTGAAAATGAGGATGTCAATGCTCTGTATGCAGTATTCATAATTTAAGTGTTGGTTAGATGGAGCAGATGAATTACGTATTTTTTAATTTCTCTGTTCAGATAGGTTGACCAATTTACAAACTTCGTTATTAATATTTATATAAATAATTCATTAACACATAAAATTGATTACTTTTTTTATGACAAAGATTGAGCTGTTGAATTTCAGTCCAGCAAGAATTAAACACTATTTTCCTATTTTAGAGGGGAACTGTATCATCAGTACTTTTCTCTTTGGTGCTAATTCTCAAGTGCAAGGTGCAGAGAGGCCTGAATGATTATAATATTTATTTGCTAACTTTGTAATAAATTTCTCAAAGTATCTTTTCCAAAGCCTATTAACAGGGATCTTCATTTTGACCTACTCAATAATAAATCCAGTTATTAAAATCACAAAAAATGTTTGCCTGTTTAATAAAGTACTCTTAAGGTTAATAACCTGCAAATATGACTACTCATCATTACTATTACTGGTATTTTTTTTATATGTTTGTAGAGTTTCTTTCTTCCATAGGAAGAAAAGAATCTCATTGTATTTTGTTTACAGTAGGGATACTTTCATGGTCTTCTGTTCAGAAATATCTATTTAAGGATAATATTCTGAGTATTGTGGTACATGTGAACTTTGCTAGAATATCATATGAGGTATAAAAAGAAGATATCTGTAGAAAAATGGCTCCCAGAGGGAAGTGAATATAGCACAGCTTGAAATGCCTAGTTCTTTGTAATGTCCTTAGCCACCAGCAAGGCAAATGTCTTGTGAAAAAGACAAATGCCTGACTTCACAGTGTATGCAAGGAGGTAGAACAGGAGGGTTTACTGGAAAGGTGTGAAAACACAAATGGGAAATGGTTCTTTTCTCACAGCACTCTTATTCACACAGAACTTCAGGGAGAATACTTCTGACTTGTATCTGGATAAATAAGAGTAATGATTTACGTTTTTCTTTAAACCTTCAACTCGAAGGTAGAAGGATGGATGAAAAGAAGGAAAGAAACACACTTTAGCTTTTGATTAAAATGGGTAAATTCATGGAATTATGACATTTGGAGATGTAAAGACTGTGTCTGCTATATGCAGCAACATAAGCTCTTTCCATTGCATGATGAGTATAGAATGCAGAAAAGGATTTGTAAAGTCTAAGTTTATTTAACATGTCTATACTCTGGGGCATTTGAATTATTAAGACTTTAGTTTATTCTCCTTTAAAGACAACATTGCCAGTTTAGGTAATGCTCAACGGGTTTGTATAAAGAAAAGGCAGAAATAAAATGTATCAAAGTCTACCATAGAGTTAGAAGGAAAGAAAAATAAAACATAGATAAACACTGAGCAGACAAAAAAAAAAAAAAATCATAAAAAATGAAAGATGAGTGAATAGAAAGGAGAAGACTGAACAAAAAGCTAATTTTGGAGAGGAAAAGACTGTTTGAATTTAATGTAAATTTATGTATCCAGCTGAATAATATCACATATATTAGACATAGGAAGGAATTGTGGCAAATGTCCATTCACAGTGTAAACTTTCAGTAGTGCTTTGCAGTGTTTATTCAGTGAGTGAATGGAGCAGACATTTCCACTGCTCTTGGTGTTTTTTTTTTTCCTCCATTTTCTGCAGAACTTCCTCTGTACAAATTACAAAAACTGACTCATGCCATAGGTAAGGGAGGTTTGCACTAATGGCTTTAGATGGATGAAGGACAAAGAAAATGAATGCCTATCCAATTTCTCATTAAGGTGACAGGGAATCAATATTTGTCTAATATTTGAATTAAATATTTGGGAATTAGATAATCTCAGATCTATTTCTTTTTAATTGTATTTAGGTTCTCTGTACTCCAGATCTTGCGAAAATCAGCTCTCCTGTGGAGTGCCAAAAAGAGTCTTAGTTTTCACTGTGCTCAAGTGTGGCTGAAGATTATACTGGAAGGTATCAAATAATTATCAATTGTCTCTTTTATTATATAATCATTATTAATATTTTAAGTTAGAAGTCACAGAGAGAGGCAGAAATAGGTAGGCTCTTTTCCCATTAAACACTAGGTAGAACATGGAAAATCATTCTAAATAGAAGGCTGGGAATGCTGTTTGAAATTTTTCTTAGTGAACTGCCCAGAAAAAAAATTGAGAGAATTTCAAGAAGCATTATAATGCAGTACTGAGTGAGGCTCCATTTGATTTGCAAGTGAAGTGTGAGTTTTCATCCTAGGCAGATTCTCCAGTTTGGCTGTACCATAAACCATGCTATAAAGGGAAGCAACAGAATATGTAGAAAAATAATAATGTGAAGAACTCTCCTCCTGAGAGAATTGTATGTACAAGCAGTGAGTACTCAATAAACATCTACAATGTACTGCAGCTTTGCCCTGTGAGGTTTTCAGCCACACTTACAGAGTATCACAGCTGTGCTATTACTGGCATAAATTAAGACTTGGTAGTTTAAGAACAGGTATTTTTATGCTTTATAATTTCAACTACAGATTGTTTGGGGGTTGGCAAGAAAGGAGTAGGTTGTTTTGTAGTACAAAGGATCAATATTTGGGTCAATAAAATTTCTTATTAAACAAAAAACTTTACTTGTTTTGTTCATAGGGAAATCATTTATGGTTGACTCTGCTTGCTACCTCACTATGCTTACACTCACCTGGTACATAGGAATTAGAACCTTTCTGTTTTGTGTTTTTTTAATTGACAGAGCAATGCTGCCCCATCCAGTTTTGAAAACAACTTTCACTTTTTAAACCTTTTTTTTTTTTTTTTTTTTTTTTTTTTTTCCATAGCACGTCTGTTTAGCAGCTATATGATTTGGCAGTGTTCCTTCTGGGAGCATTAACATGGACTTCAGTGAGTGCATGGTTGGGATCTGTATGTATCTTTCACTTGAATAAACGGTAGAGGATGGTCTCTGGATTCAGGTTACGTTCAACTGTAAGTCCTGAGATAAAAAGAAGTAATATTACTCCCTTAGATGACAAAACACAGAATTCTGTTTCTCTCATCTCAGTACTACACTCAGGGACAAGATCTGGTTACTACATCATCTTCTAAACATTTATTGTGAAAGGAAGTCATAGCTTTTCAAAGGCAGCTCTTTCATAACCTTGAACTTTCTGTGTGTCAGTTAGCCTGATATGTCAAAACTATTGTGTTTTAAATTGTGAAGAGTTGTAGAACTTTACAGGAGCTGTTTTGCATGTCTGAGCAAAGTATAAAGAAATCAGTGGAGTGCCTTCTTTGTAGAACTTTCCTTAGGTGCACATCACTTCACATTTTTAAGTTGTATTTCTCGTCTTCCTTGCAGAGGAAGGACGTATTTTGCACTTATCACAAAGCCATTACAAATAGTCTAATCTGGTTGAATATTCTACCTCTTGAGATTGGCAATAAAACTGAAATATAACTCATATTAGGAATTCCAGCATTTCATAACAAGACATTTAAGAGTTCTGTTAAAATATAAAACAAAACTTTATTATGTTTTATTATGAAATTATTATTTTTTCTATATACATGCTGTATTTATGTACACACACACTAAAAAAAAAAAAGTTTCCAAATTTCCATGGAGCGACAGTTTTGAAAAATTAGACTCAGTTAAATCTGGTGAAGGTAATCAAACAGCAAAGAGCTCTCTGAGTCATTAGGAAAAGTTCATCTAACTTCTCAAAGTACTGGCATTATAGACAGTCATCTCTTGAGGATCTTCGCTATCACTGCTTAGAACAGGGAATATCTGGGCAAAATCAGTGATTATAGTTAATTTGATTTACATGGTCTTAAAAGGCAAAAGAGGCAGAAAACTATATAGAACTCTCCTTTATCACAGAATCACGCAGAATCACAGAATGGCCCGGGACCTCAAGGATCATGAAGCTCCAACCCCCCCTGCCAACCTCCACATTTGGCCCCCCTGCAGGGCCACCAACCTCCACATTTAATACACATTTAATACTAGGCTGCCCAGGGCCCCATCCAACCTGACTTTGAACACTTCCAGGGAAGGGACATCTACAATATTATAATTTTATAATATTAATTATAATTACTTTTTTACACAAGTAATTATTTACAGGTATGGAGATATGCAAAATTGCTTATTGTGCTTTATTATTTTTGTATTTCTAGAGAGATGATGGCTTCTTCCATTTGTAATTTGTAACCTGACAATCCAGATTCACTTCAGTCATCAGCTAAATCATGTTTCAGAAGACTCTCACGATTTCTGGCAAGCTGGAGTTTGATGGAGTTAAAAACAAAATAGTAAACTTGAAAAATCTGTTCCTTACTGAAGCAATTCAGTTTCATTTGCAGCATCTGGAAAGAAAGTCAAAACCTTCTTGGGAAGAATTAACACAGCAATAATGAGAGCAATGGTAAAGCATAATGCATAATAAGACATGTTTTGTCTTGTGTCACTGAGCATTATCTTCACTTGAAAGATAATGTATAAGTATCAGTATCTTTTTCCACATATCACTAACCCTTAAAAAGTATGCATGCAACTTTATATTTTCCCTGACCATCTGGATGTTGAAATCCCTAGTAACAGTGACAATGAAATCTGAGCCATGATAAGATTCCATCTAAAATCTGATGAGGCCAAAACTTAAAAGTCGCCTCCTAAGGTTGCCACTGGTCAGATGTATTGTCAACAACAGTGCTGTAGCACTCAATATTAATGTCTGATTCTTCTTCATTAGTATCCAGCAGCTTAAGGACATTCTGATTCGATTGGTGCTGGTGTTCCATGTATGACCAAGATGCCAGATTTTTGGGCAGCATTTTGAGTTTTTTTTTTAATTTAATATTAAAAAACAAAACCAAAACCAAAAACAACACAAGAATAAATAATTTCTTTAAGTGTTTGTGCTACTTTCGTAGTTTTATTTAGACAATCCCAGGTGCTGTGAATCCATTCTTACTGTTATTGATAATTTGAACATCCAAATTCCTGTGTCATACAACTTCATATCTGTGCCTTTCTTCTTCCTCAAGAAATCACAGCTGAAATTGATATCAAGACCTGGCCTAATACCCTTAACTCAGTTAGATGAATTCAGACAAGCTGTCCAATCTTCAGAGGAATCCTACAAACAAAATGTAGTGGTGGATGTCAGATAGAAGCAAACAAAAGTCTGTGGCTTAGGAATAGTTCCTTTCATTCATGAGTCTACAGACAGTCAAAAAAAAAAAAAAAAAAAAAAAGGCAAACGCTGTTGCCAACACTTCACAGCTGAAGAATATAAAGTCTAAAGGTACTTACTGTTACACCACAGGGAAGGAGAACAAAAACTGGAGCTGGACTTTAATTTTTCAGATCTGAAGAATACCCTGGCAAGTGCTGAATAAAGAAAAAAAAAAAAAAGAAAAGGGGGTGGTGGTGGTGGGGGGGGTAAGGTGTTTACATATCTTACTTTTGCTTAAGAGTTTACATAAATACTTAAATACAATTAAATAATTAAATAATGCAACATTTAAAAATGAACTTATTTAGTGTACAGACTTTTGTAAAATAATTTTGAGATACCACCCGGTTGTCTCATTATAGTTTGCTTCTGTATTTTGTAACCTACTGTAGATTTTCAGAATTGCTTCTGTTATACTCACTACAAAGTATGTAGCAGAGGGATAAATCACAGCCTCACAAATTACTCCTCAAAAACTCCTCTCATGCACTGTTGATGGACAGCCAGCACAGTTCTTCACAGAGGACAGATCTGTTAAAATACGCTGTGAAACACTATAGTAACCTCAATACAAGGTACCAAACTAATAAAGGATAATAAAAAAGCCATGCAACTGAGGTGAACTGAAATAAGTCTCTTCAGCTAATAATGGGAATTGACCAGCAAAATGAGCTCTGAGTCAAAGATTGTAACCTATGACTTAATCACTGGTGTTAGAGTAGATAAAATGTCTATCAAATGCTATATGCTGTTTTATCAGAAAAGATGAATAGCAACCTGTTTCAAATGGTGACGGTGATGGTGATGGTGATGGTGATAGAGAAGAAATGCTAGCTGTGGCAACTGATACACAGATCAAGTCATATGACATAAGTCTGTTTTCCGCATTTATTTGTTTATTTCAAATTTCTTTGTAATGTTCTAGATAATTAAAAAGATATTTTAAATTAATGATTTTTCAATAGCTTTGCATTCAAATATTCAGAAGTATTTGAATTATAATGTTACATTTGAAATGTTACAAAGGTAGGGAGATGAGGAAGTTTGCTATGATGGCAGTACTGAAAATTCTTTCAAAAGTTTGCTTTGATGCAAACAATGCTCATTTATTCATTGAGCATTCCATGTGAAAAAAAATATAAATTAAACCCATAAAAACTGAACAAAAACATTAGAATTCAGTAGTGATACAATATCGAATTAGAAAGGATTTATTATTAGTTAATTTGCAGTGCATGTTGAAAATTGAAATTGTTTTGAAAGGATGGTGGATGAAAAAAATATTAGTAATTGAAGACACTAAAATAGCAACAGCAAAATTAAATAAATACTTCATATAAAACTGTATACTGGCTTTTGAATTATTCTATTTATCGGGATTTATCTTTTATAGCAGATATTGCATCTATTATGTAGGTTCCCATCAGCATGGGGTAGCTCAAGAGTTCTGATCTGGAGAGTGCATTGAAGGATGAACCTATGAATTTATAAAACAACATGTGTCTTGTGGCAAAGTAGATCATCCAGTCATGGAAAAGAAACAAATACTTGGCTTTAGGCAACCAAATGTTGATCTCCAGATGAATACTGCAAGCAGTCAGTTTGCAATAACACAAAATACAAGCTGCTGCACAGAATATTCAGCATATATTTGGGGGGAAAAAGCAAACGGTAGCAATCTTTGTCCGTTAGTAGATAATTACCATAAGAAGAAAAAGAGCTAAAGTAATTGAATAAAATACATTAGATTGTTTACTCAGTTCTATTAGCAGCAAGCAGCATGCTCTCATTAGAAAACAAAGAATAAAACATTGTTTAAAGTTTCAATGAAACAATGATATTAGTTTCCATAACATTATCTGGCACTGTAAAGAACACTAACAACACAGAAGAATTCAAAAGCACCCTATAAATACTTTTCAAATTAACCTATCCTTTATAGATTATGTATTATGAGCTGAATGCAGTTCCCACTGCTAAGGATTGGAAACCAGGGAAGAATTTAGGAGCTGAATTACAGTTCTTCTGAAGTGAAGAGATGTTTGCTTTTCTTTTTGATAAATCATGTTGAACTGGTACTAGGAAAAGCGAGAAAAATACTGAAATCCAATCTAAGTCACAAGAATGTGTCTGGTTCTCAGTTTGTGTGTTCTGTTTTGAGCTCCCAAGTACAAAAAGGATGTGGACATATTGGAGAGAGTTCAGTAAAGAGGGTGGAGCATCTCTCCTGTGAGGAGAGGTTGAAAGAGCTGGGGCTGCTTAGCATGGAGAAGATGACCTTTGGGAGGGCTCTTACCAATGTCTAAATACTTGAAGGGAGTGTGTCAAGAAGCCAGAGCCAGGCTCTCTTCAATGATGCCCAATGCAAAGGCAAGAGGCAATGGACACAAACTGGAGCACATGAAGTTCCAGCTGAATGTTAGGAAGCACATTTTCACTGTGAGGCTGATGGAACATTGGCACAGGTTGCCCAGAGATGCTATGGAGTTTCTCCCCTTGAAGATCTTCAAGAGTTGCTTAGACAATCTTACCTTATTTGAGTAAAGGTATATTAATTTGATGACAAATTCAAGCCTAAAATGAAATAATATGAAAATATTCTGCAAGATTAAATTTGAATTCCAACTTTACTTGTCAGGACAATTTTTAAATATGTTATCTACCTATCTTAATTTTTTAACAACATAGATGATGAAGCCATCCTTAAAACTATTTATACATTAGTAAATCATACAACTGAGTCTATAAGGATAGAGCTTAATTTATTATTTATATTCCAATAGCACTCACTGTGTAAGACACTATCCACAGGAACAGAAAAACAGGCAGTTACATTGATTTTTGCAAACTACAATTTTAAAAAAAAAAAAAAATAGAAAGAAAGAAAGAAAGAAAGAAAAGAAAGGAAAAGGACCGTACACTGATGTTCAAAATAAAAGAGAAAGGAGGTTGTGTATGGACATGTATGCTGGTACTACAAGAACTGCTTAAGCTATGTGAAGTATCATGGGGACATAATTCACCAAAGTTCCTTCTGCGGAGAGGGACCTGGGTGTCCTGGTGGATGACAGGTTGGCCATGAGCCAGCAGTGTGCCCTTGTGGCCAAGAGGGCCAATGGCATCCTGGGGTGCATTAAAAAGAGCGTGGCCAGCAGGCCGAGGGAGGTGATCCTCCCCCTCTACTCTGCCCTGGTAAGACCTCATCTGGAGTACTGCGTCCTGTTCTGGGCTCCCCAGTACAAAAAAGACAGGGATCTCTTGGAAAGAGTGTGAAGGGCCTGGAGCATCTCTCCTATGAGGAAAGGCTGAGTGAACTGGGTCTGTTCAGCCTTGAGAAAAGAAGACTGAGAGGGGACCTGATACAGGTCCATAAATATCTAAGGTGTGGGGGGCAGAATGGCGAGGCTGGGCTCTTTTCAGTGGTGAGTGGAGACAGGACAAGGGGAAATGGCCGGAAACTGCAGCATAGGAAGTTCCACACAAACATGCGCAAGAACTTCTTTACAGTGAGGTGACGGAGCACTGGAACAGGCTGCCCAGGGAGGTGGTGGAGTCTCCTTCTCTGGAGATGTTCAAGACCTGCCTGGATGCCTACCTGTGTGACCTGCTGTAGGGAACCTGCTTTGGCAGGGGGGTTGGACTCGATGATCTCTGGAGGTCCCTTCCAACCCCTACAATTCTGTGATTCTGTGAAAGTGGCTTGAAAAGTTGGGTCTAGAATTGACAAGTCAATCTAGTGTATAGGTAAATTAGATCAAATGAGAGGGAAACCTTATTAGCTAAGAAACTACTTAGTATGAAGTAATGAAGCACTGCCCAGAACAGACACTTCATTTATGGTAACTGGACAAGAGAGGATGGAGCAAGGGAAATAATCAGGTTGCGACTCCACAACTAGATCATGTTATCTAAAACACACTGATGTTGTACTAGGTCTCCTATTTCTTGAGTGCTCTGGTTCCAATCCAAGCACTGTTTATGTGCTTCTACACTATAAAAAGCCAGTCTGATTCTGGGGTATTAGCTACCTGGCTATGCGGGTACACCTGGTCATTCTCAGAATCACAGAATTGTAGGATTTGGAAGGGATCTCTGAAGCTCATCTAGTTCAACCCCCTGCTAAAGAAAGTTCCCTACAGTAAACTGCACAGGAAAACATCCAAGCAGATGCTGAATATCTCTGGAGAGGGAGATTACTCAGCTTCTCTGTATAGCACTGTTCCAGTGCTCTGGCACCCTCAAAGTAGTGAAGTTTTTTCCTCATGTTCATATGTAATTTTTTGTGTTCCATTTTTTGACCATTGCCCTTTGTTCTGTCACTGGGAATCATTATAAAGAGCCTGACCCCATCCATTTGATTCCTGGCCATTAGATATTTATAAACATTGATAAGATTCCCTTTCAACCTTCTCTAGATTGAAAGATCCCAGGTCCACAGTCGTCTTTGTAGCACTCTACTGGACTCTCTCCTGTCTTTCTGGAACTGGGGAGACAGAACTGAAAAATATTAATCCAGTATTAACCAGAACAAAATAGTGTATAGTAGGTAGACTGCAAATCATTCTCATTCATTCTTCCTGAGTCACATACAGCCTCAGCTTAACCACATTCCCTCCCAGATAAAACTTCAGCATGCAATCACAGTCAAATTGCTTCATCCTGCAACATTAACCTTTGACTAAATATCTGGCCAAAGGAACTCTTCAAAATATACTTCTAATGTCAGAAAATCTGAAACGTTCATAGCCTAACTCTGTAAGCAAGTCATCTCATAAAGCCCGTCTGAAGAAGAGACCAAGAAATCTCTGGCTTCATGTTCACTTTCTGCATAGCCTTTTGAACTTCATTTACATTCATTGTCTCATGCACTTGTTCTATGATTACAGTCATACACAGATGGAAAAGTACACATCTTAAAATATGGTTTGGTCACTGGCACATTTTGACATCACACTCCAGGTTTACTTGTGAAGGAAAAATCACCAAAGTCATCAGACATTATTCAGAAAGCTGTCTGAAAATCAATCTGAAAATCAGGCTTTTTTATTCAGAACTAAGCTCTTTTGTAAGTTAGCTGGATACTTGAAAGGAGGTCTGTTTTTTGGATCCAATGTTCCTAATATTCAGATATCAGAACTGGAATTGTATGGTAT